TAACTTTTGTAGCTTGAATAAAAATTAACCAATATAGTTTATGCATATACAATTTATAGTTTTTGTGAAGATTGTTTTAAAATCACTTGAATTAAAAGTTGTCATATATTTCAGAGCCTATTAAATGTTAAAAATAATGGCTTTCAATTATAATAGAGACACCAGTATTGGTATCGATACTTCATTAATAATAGGCTACTTAGTAAAAAAGATGCCATTAAACACATATTTAAAATATACTATCTTTATGTTGTTTCTACATTAATTTGGAAGTTCAATGTGAAATTATGACAATATAAATGTATGAATATGCGATTAATCATGATTACAGAAAAATGTGTGATTAATTAATTATTTTTGTAATTGATTGACAGACAGCACTCTTTTAACCTTTTGTAGATCTTGGTATTGGTAATATTATTTATATATAATTTTACTGCTGAATATGCATTTCAATTATTTCTATTTTTATAGCCCCCCCAGCAGGAAGTGATCGTGCTGGCCCCCACCCACTTCGCGCCCTTAGTTGGTGTAAATCAAAGAACAAAAGAAAAAGAGAAATCACTCGACTGCTCTAGTCGCTGATTAACTTTTGTAGCTTGAATAAAAATTAACCAATATAGTTTATGCATATACAATTTATAGTTTTTGTGAAGATTGTTTTAAAATCACTTGAATTAAAAGTTGTCATATATTTCAGAGCCTATTAAATGTTAAAAATAATGGCTTTCAATTATAATAGAGACACCAGTATTGGTATCGATACTTCATTAATAATAGGCTACTTAGTAAAAAAGATGCCATTAAACACATATTTAAAATATACTATCTTTATGTTGTTTCTACATTAATTTGGAAGTTCAATGTGAAATTATGACAATATAAATGTATGAATATGCGATTAATCATGATTACAGAAAAATGTGTGATTAATTAATTATTTTTGTAATTGATTGACAGACAGCACTCTTTTAACCTTTTGTAGATCTTGGTATTGGTAATATTATTTATATATAATTTTACTGCTGAATATGCATTTCAATTTAATTTCTAATTTTATAGCCCCCCCCAGGAAGTGATCGTGATGGCCCCCACCCACTTGGCCCCCTTCAAATGTTCAGTTTGATAATCCGGCCCTCAAATGAATTTAGTTGAATAGCCCTGCGCTAAAGCATTGCGGAGATATATCCTCTCATCCACTTTGGTGAGCTCTTCGACAAATTTGTTCGTGAAATCAACTTGATTTGCATATTTTTTTATTATATATCCTGTTAACCAGCACCCAAGTTTTTTTTTTTTTATTTCGGATGAAGTCAAGTAGCGTCGAAAGAGATGAGTTTTCAGTGTAGACAGCATCACTGATCATAATGGCTTCTATTGTATTTTGTCGCGCCGCTCGCGTCTGGTATAGACACGGAGTGAGTCTTCAGTCATTTTTCAACTCTTCGTTATTGCTTCAATGCAAAGGAAACCAGCGTGCCTGCCACGTCACTATTTGTCAGGTGTGTTCAAGTAAGCTAGATATGCGCAGATGCTGCGCAATTAGAAATCATGTTGATGATGACTCACAAGTTCAGTATTTGCGCTAAATCTGCACAGATTTGGCTTAAATGAACGTGCCCAAGAAATTAATGAGTGAACATAATATATAAGAAACCCACCAAATTGGCTAGTGATTTGACAGCGTTACCCGCCACATCTGATTTTTACCCGCAGGTGTTCATTTCAAACCCTGAATATAATGTTAAAGGGGTCATATGATGCGATTTCATTTTTTCCTTTCTCTTTGGAGTGTTACAAGCTCTTGGTGCATAAAGAAGATCTGTAAATTTGCAAAGACTAAAGTCTCAAATCCAAAGAGATATTCTTTATAAAAGTTCAGAGTTAGCCACACCTACCTAAAACGGCTCGTTCGAACACGCCCCCACATATCTACCTCACTATGTGGGAAGAGTTGCATAACCCCGCCCAAATGTTCACGCAAAGAAAGAAGGCAAAAATCGAAGCGTTTCAAAAAGGCGGGGCATAGAGGAGAAACAATAATGTACAGTATGTGGAGAATAATGTGTTTTTTTAACTTTAAACCGCATAAACACATTTCATTACACCAAATACACAAAATAATGTTCTTTTTAGCAACATCATATGACCCCTTTAACAAAACAAACAAACAAATAAATAAATATTTAGTTTAGTTAAAATCCATTACATTTATTGATTTTAATAAAAATGTTTAAAGTGGAATGTAATACTATGAACTGTCATGTTCCATATAATGCAGCCACAAGTGTTCAAATGCTGTTAGTAACAAACAAAACCATTTTAGCATGTATACTAAACAACACATCACTGTTAATCTTATTTTCCGTCTTTTACTCTCCCCCCCACACACACACACACTCTTTTTCGTGATTACTTATGATTTAACCAAGTTCAGTATTATGTCTGCCTCATTATGCTAATGAAAGCTTTTTCTCGTTGCGTTGCATGCTTGGCTAGCAGATTGCGCTGAAGTGTGAGAGCAGCGGATTGGGCCGTGTGCGCTCAGCTCTTCCCTGCTGATTCGGCATGCCATCAGCATTCTGCCCAGCGCAATATAATGATCAGGGCCCAGGTGACACACACAGAGACACACAGCAGCGTGCTAGAGATTCAGCCGCGTATGCTAATGCTCCAACGCCCCCTTGTAAAGCATGCAGTGGGTGAGGAGGCAGCACACTTTACAAGGGGGTGTTGCAATCAAGAGAGAACACAAACAAGCAAACAAGAAAGGATGACTTGTTATGGCAGACAGTAATAGACGGGCCTAGACAGAATCTGTAGAGTTTTTCTGCATTTTTGGCACTGAATTTCAGCAGAACGGATTTAAACATGGTTAAACGTGCTAAACGCATTTGAGAATACTACATTACACAAGCTAAAAGCATGATCAAATTAGACAAAATATACTATAAACAAGGAGAAGGAGGGAATATCTTATTCTTTTTGGTATGGATCTATTTATTTATTCAAAAACACTTAAAAATGCAATTTATACAAACAAGCACTTGAATACACCTCTTCTATGAAGAACATGTTTTATGTTTTTTTATATTTTTTGTGAGTCAGAAATATCAGGGTAAAAAAAACCTCTCCATTCCATGATTAAAAAAATGAGTTAATGAAATCCTTTACAAATTATTCAACCTAGTTTGCTGTAATTTTATGAATTTTTGTTTTCTAAAAAAGAAAAAAAAAGTGTAGAAGTTTTGTCAAAACATTATTAAAACATATTTAAAAATGTTTGTCCACCAAATCAAGGTTGCGTGGTGCAACTAGCATGCAGAAACATGCAGAAAAAATAAAAAATAAAACAGGAAATCATTTCATAGCAAGGACCACTGCAGACCCTCATGGCTCTAAAGTCTCTTAAAATATCAGATAATGACAAGGCAAGGTTAAAGGGATAGTTCACCTTCAGTTGCTGGTCCCTATTGACTTCCACAGTATATATATATATATAAAATAAAAACACTATGCAAGTCAATGGGAACCAACTGAAGGTGAACTATCCCTTTAATATAAACTGTTTTTGAATTAATACTGCAGAATGTTAGTATAAATTCTCTTTGCCTTGAAATATATATTTTTAAATTGTTTTTATAAATAAATGATTAAGATGTGTACACTCGCATGTATTCAAATTGTTATGAAAATGTCATTACTTTTTACTTGATAGTTACACCATATGACATTTTTAGAGTCATAAAATGTAAACTGTTCTTGAAAATAGTATACTTTACACATACATATGAAAGCAGATTTTGAAAAGATTCATCCTTTTCTTTTTCTTGCAGGGTTATTTCAGTTAAACCAAAACTAAAACATTAATAATAATAATAATTATTATTATTATTAATAATAATATTATTATTTCAAATACTCGTTAATGATTTTTAAATGAATTTTTGACATTTAAAATTAATTAAATTTCATTTTTTTTTATAAACTTATTTTATTTCTCATTTAATGTTACCCTGCAGTACTATAATTACTAAAACTAAATAAACTAAATAAAAAATAAATCAATAAAAAAGTAAACTTAATTTATTTCAACTACTTGCCAAGGTAACATTTCTCATTTAATTTTAACTTTAAGTACTAAAGTAACTAAAACTAATGAACTAAACCGTATAAATAAAAATTCGGAATCATATAATAATAATAATAATAATAATAATAATAATAATAATGACAAGTACAACAAAATTACTAAAATGTAACTACAATTAAAGTAATTGTAAGTACAAATTAAAGTCTTATAATAAAAACTATTATAAGAAAAACATTGTCACTGACCCACCTGCACTTGTACACTTGTACAAGATCAATATTTTTGTTTTCCTCTAAAGGTCAAGTAATAAAAAATATTTATTATTATTATTATTAAAAAATAATTATTATTACTTGAGAATTACATTTTAGCACACTATAGTAATGTATTTCTGTCATAATTTCTTCAAGTTAAACCAGACTTTTATTTTGACAGGTTGTTGTGAAGGTCTTATAGTTTTACTTTCAGCTTCAGCGTGTATTTGACGCTAGTTTTTCTCAAATGAAATGGTGAAAAGCTTGAGAAGTGACTGTCTGAGAAGCTCTGGAGATGAAGTTCATGTGTTCAAGTCGTCATACAATTCAATATTATGTTGTTTTATCGCTCAGCCCTAGGTGGAGTATCACTAAGTACTAGTATACACGTCTCAAACGGGTCCTAAAAGGTTTGACTTCAGGCCTACCAGCTGAAAAGTCCCCAAAACCGCCTTAAAACCACTTATAACCAGCTCGGTGGCCAGCCAAGACCAGAAAACCACCTTAGACTGGTTTATGCTGTTTTTCCCTCAGCAGGGCTGTCAGAAGCACTCACACTGTGGTGGTGAGAGCCTTTACAAACTATCTATAGGGAGATTTAATGCTGACAGACTGCTGAGCGCTATGAACTGTGTCTTATGTGGGTGTTTTACCTGTGCTTGTGCCTCCATTCGAGCATACTGAACCAGCAAAGGCTCTCCGTGCTTCTGCAGGAAGTCTCTCTGACAGCGCTCCGCCAGCGCCGCTTCGTTGGGAAGAAAATTACTGGCCCAAACCTGGAGAGAGAAACGGGAATAGCACAAAGACGTGAAACCTGTGTGGGAGTCTCGCTAATCATACTCTGTTGATACGGAAAATCTTTAGAACAGCTTTCAGGGACAAAAACAACATTTCGGCCGCACATAATCACAAAAAAAATCCCTTCCAGCTATAAAAATAACTAGAACAGCAAAGCAGGCCCGTATTTAACATATGCAAATTGATAGCGAAGTACAGTATGTAGCCAGCGAAGAACGGAGAGCACAGAAACACATCCAATTATACTTCGCAACTAGTGGAGTTGGTACTTGCCGTACATTTCTCCCATCTTTAGCCTCATAGAGATGATTTAGGGAAAGCAATTGGAAAAGACACTTTAAAACATTCATCTTTCCAGCCGCCAATGACACCCTGCGCTGCCCAGAGAGAGTTCTGACACTGTCTCCCATACATCTTCAACAAAAAAGGCTGCTGAGAGAGATTCTGTTTCTCCGATACTTCTCCTCAAAACGGAGCTCCCAAAAGAGATCTCCGCAAACGTATCTTCCTGAGGAAAGAAACTTGGTCATTACTCACTTCCGAGACAAATGCGATTTTCTGCAAAGAGATGTGGAGTTTTTGGGCGCTCAATTTGAGCAATTTAAAGCAGTGCTACACACGCATGGAAGACTCTCTCAAGGGTCTTTACCATGAATTTACCACAGAATATTTTGCAGTTAATTCCAATTCATAAAACTTCGAAAACAGTATGTTAATAATAAGTGGATATAGTGTAGTATTTCAGATGGATTTTCCAAGTAGGTGTATGCTAAAACGGCTAATGCAGCTAGCGCACGCTGGAAGCTTGTTACAGTTCTCTTTCAACTTTCTCAGTTTGAGTTTGTAGTAAATTGTGGAGAAATATTGCTGAAACACTCTGTCTTTAACTAGGAAAGCTATGTTAAAGAAGGTAAAGTTCACTTTTGAAAGCATCTTGACATATTGCAACGCTAATGCTTGTGAATCGAATTCAAATCATGCACAAAACATACTAAGAAAGCAAATGAGATCAATTTTGATTACATTTTTAAACTTTGAGGTAAATTTTGAGGTAAAAATACCTCAAAAAGGGATACATTTAGATTAAATGAAAAATACATTTCATCATGGCTTTAAAAATATTAGCTGAAAAGTTTGGCTAGAGCTTGAAGGTAATTATTTTAGCTAGTTGCTAACACTAGATGTTAGGTAGCATAGGCTGATCTGGTATTAAGACAATATCATGATGTGCTAAATTGTTTAAGTACTTGCATATTAGCATAAATCTACATATATAGTGCGTAGTAGACTAATTATGAATTTGAGTTAATTCAATATCACTACATTCAGTATTTAAAGAAACAGTCATTCTATGAAGCACATGTAGTAAGATGAAATCTAACCAGGATACTTTTGACAATAAATGTGAATTAAACCGCTTACTGAATGGCCAAGTGTCCATGATTTTTTTGAAAGGACACACTAAATTGATCAAAACTGACAGTAAATACATTTATAATATTACAAAATGTTTTCTAATCATCAAATAACCCTGAAAAATGCAGGTATCCACAAAAATATGAAGCAGCACAACTGTTTTCATCATTGATAATAATCAGAAATGTTTCTTGAGCGGCAAATCAGTATATTAGAATGATTTCTGAAGATCATGTGACACTGAAGACTGAAGTAACGATGCTGAAAATTCAGATTTGATCAAAATAATAAATTACATTTTACAATATATTAGAAAGTTATTTTGAATTATAAAACTTTTTCACTATTTTACTGTAGCCTTGTGAGCATGAACTGTCCTGAGCGCGTTCTCAACAGCCGGCGCGTGACGCGTCTTCTTCTTCTTCTTGCTTTACGGCGGATCGCAGACTTATAAGTGCATTACCGCCACCCATTGACACTCCTAATTGAGATTGTAGATAGAGTGTCAATGGGTGGTGGTAATGCACTTATAAGTCTGCGATCCACCGTAAAGCAAGAAGAAGAAGAAGACGCGTCATGCGCCGGCTGTTGAGAACGCGCTCAGGACCGTTCGGACATTGCGGTGAATCAGAGGTAAAAAAACGATATGAATACTGTTCAGTTTCTTGCACAGACCGATAGTTTCGTGTCTTTA